CTTGCCTCGGCCTCTGCCTCTTGTGGAATTAGTATTCCAGGTATTGGAGCTGGTAGTCCAGTTGCCCTGATCTGGTACTCGAACACCCAGGGATTGTAAAGCCATGGCAAGTGATTCCACTGTTCTTCCTTGCTCTTGTGAACTGCCCAGATGTTGTCTCTCATGTTGTGCCATTTTGTAAAAAATTTGGTCCATTGATGGTAATGGATATGTAAACAGGACTTGAGATCTAGGAATACTGTAATTGACATTCAGACCTCTCAGAAAATGTACTATCAAATTGGTTTCCTCATAACCTTTGACAATGGTGATGGCTTCACAAGCATGAGGGCTCGTGGCTGTGCAAGTGCAAGGGGGTATGCTCTGATAGTTCCTTAATTCTTCCCAGATAGTGATTAAATCAGTATGATATTCAGATAATGATCTACTGCCTTGTTTCAGAGTACAGAGCTGCTCTTTCAACTCAACAATACGGATTAAATCACCCTGAGCATACCTCATTTTTAGGGTTTTCCAGACTTCAGCAGCAGATTGAATACACCGTACACTCTTTCCAATCACTTCATTGACTGATTGAAGAATCCAGCTCTTGACCATTGTGTTGCAACTCGTTCATGGCCAGCTCATCGTGTCTCCCGCCTGTGGCTTGGGAATGCTTCCATCGATGAATCCCAGCTTGTTCTTGGATGCGAGTGCGTCGATCATGGCTGCGCTCTAGTCGTTGTAATTGGTTGGTGTGAGTTTTTGAGGTACCAGCACTTTACCTGGCTGCTCTGAGCCATGGAAGTAAAATGGATCTGATAATGGGTATCCAGTCGCCAATCGATTTTGTTGGCCGGATCCACTTCCATCTCCTGCCTGTGTGACAATCGTTTCTGTGTTTTCTGTGTTTGTCGACATTGTTGTGAATCGGAAAGAAAGGGGAAGCTAAGAATGGAGAAGAAGAAGAAGGGGAAAGGAGGCGAACAGAGTGGTGAGGGTCGAAACCTCTCAACCAGGCTCTGATACCATAACAACGTTTTGGTTGTGGAAAATTAGGGTTTCCAACCTACCCCTTTCCTTCTTCTCATTGGAAATATATAGTTCGAACTACAAGCCAAAAACATCCAGCTCTGCTGGTGAAAAACAAATACAGAGAAGATGAATAGTAAAAACGATCGCTGTCCAGACCGTTGGAAAAGCTTGCATCTGATTGGTCCTTGATCTTCCAGTACGCGCGTGACACGTGACACCTGGATCTTCGTCAGAGACGTATGGAACGACGCCGCTTCACTTGCTGCGAGAGCTTCCTTCTCCTGAACCGGGTTCGATACTTGAAGAAGAAAAAAACCTGTTGGTTTCTTCTGTTAGAATCAGCAACTGCCGAGCAAAACAGCGGTGTGCTCATGAAAACATTTCATACTACGGATTCACTGTGTGGATTACTTGGTAAACACGAATAATATTAATTGGCAAACCCACAGGAGTACAGACAACTTGAAGACAATCATGTTAAGTCCTCAAATGCGTCAAGGTATGAAAAAGTCTCGGGAAAACCGGAGGTAAGTGCCTGACAAACCAAGATAAACCTAATTCAATGTTGTGGATATTGTGGTACGGTATTAGTCTATTACTTTAAGCACCTTCCCATGTGTGGAGCTTAACATAACTGTGAAAAACACTAATCTTAATCATTGCTCCCTAATCACAATGTGAAGCATGCAACTCGAAAGAATAAATTATCTATGGAAAACAATAGGGAGGTTCAGTTCACTCTGCTATATGTTAACTCTTCATATGCCACAATGAGCAGTAAATAAAAATGATAACAGTAAATAAATGAAACAGAACATGAGCCTCCAAAAAAAGAAAAAGCTCTATGTTTTACTCCTTGATCTATCACTAACATAAGTAAGATAGCAACCTGTGCCTTTTAACACTTGAAGCTACAATACATACCCGGTTGTACCTTTTCATAAGACAGAGCAGGGTATCAGATGTCTTACAAGTTCTTGATTGTTTCATGGCTAGGAAAAATGTGAACAAGTTCAGGTTCCCAATCATTTGCAGTTTTCTTTCTACTCTCGGAATTGCATCATATACCGGACATTTAGTTTGAAGTCACCTTATAGGATAACTAAATCCTTTGTGCGTAGACTCATATTCTGATCAACAAGCAATCCGCCTATGGAACTATCCACTGATCTTGGAAGAGAAGGATGAAGGAACAGAAGGCAACATTCATATATCAGAATTCACTGGTAGAAGATTTGTGCAACGACTCAAAAGGCGTATTCAGATGCCATTCTCTTTGCTAAGTAATCTTCCCTTCCCAGATTTCTCTCTATTTATCCTTACATCTGCCAGACCCCAGGTGCAACTTTTCATTTCCACGTCAAATGAAACAAGCTTGAAGATGCCATCACTTTCTGAGGCAGAATCTGTTCCAACTGCCTGACTGACATACTTTACATGCATAGTTCAGTCCCTGACTGAATCGATCAATGTCTTTAGGGATCCGAAACATTCTTTCAACACACGGAGATGATACCTGAGGATTTGATAGCGTCCTGAAAGCATACATTCCCAATTCCCCTTCAGACAACAGACATTGCTAATGCTTCGTTGTCCTACCACGTCGCAGCTAGGGCTATTCCACCACATCCCCAACCTTCCTCAAAAAAGCCAAGTATGATTATAATTTAGGGCACCTTTTCCTTTTAATTTCGCTCTAGAGTCCAAACAGAAACCAATTCGAACTTAGTTGAAGTAGCGCATCATCTTCTTCTACATGCACATTTTTGAAATCACCTTCATCCTCTAGCAACTCCTCTACCAATTCCACATTCAAAATTGAGCAATGCGACCAGAATTTTTAGGAAAATTAGAGGGAACCAGTGATAATTTACCGTCGTCGAGCTCGTATTCGTCGAAGAGCAGCTGATCTTCTTCCCCGTCGTCGTTATCAGCTGACGACACCTCTAACCTCTTCGACTATGGTTGGTTTGAGGACTGGTTCCTGTGGTCGTGGTGGCTTTCTGCTCTTCTTGGCCGGAGCTTCCGCGAAGAGCTTCCTTCGACCTTCACGGAAAGGGCATGTCAAGGTGGAGCACTTCTTGATGCTTTAATGTACAACTCAAAGTTGTACCATAACATTAAATGTATAATTTTAGGTTGTACCATAAAACAATTTGTACCATTATGTTATGGTACAACTTTACAACTTGAAGTTGTACCATCACATAAAGGTACAAGTTCAAGTTGTACCGTAAAAGAATTTGCACAAAAAGTATAGGTACAATCTGAAGTTGTACCATAACGTAAATGTACAATTTTAAGTTGTACCATAAAAGCAAAAACCTATAGCACCAATACTATATAGCATTGTAAAATTTCTCTGTCTAACCGGTTTATACCACTCTGTCGGTTTGACAAGTGAAATGGTATGATCGTTGGTACGATCGGTTTATGCTAATTTAACAAAATATGTAAAAACATGAAAATCATTAACTTCCAATGAATTTAGGGGTCGTTTGGTTTTGGTGATAGTTTGGTTGGGATAGTTACAAACTTACAATGCATGTAATGTTCACAACACATCGTTTTTTTGAATTTATGCGCAAACAATACATGCATTGTTTGCTTGATTTGACACAAACTATCACTCAAAATCAGCGGCAGATCCAGAATATAGTAGAGCACTTGGCCGCTTCTGAACAGAAAATTAGAAACCATAAAAAATATAATAACTATAATTTACATTAAAATATCAATTGTACACAAAAGTCTTTTAATTTAGAAAATTTATCAATAATTGAGCCTTCATCCATACCAATAACATACTCTCTCACAAAAAAAAAAAAAAATAGTTAAGCAATCAACGAGAAATTCATTAACTATTTTATTGAGCAAATAAATTTTCACATGTTTCATTCCTGAAAAAAGATTTTTCCATAGTAGCCGTTGAAACGGGCAACAACAACACTAGAGTAAGAAAATGATATTTTTTCGCCTTTTTATTTGATACTTAAGAAGATGTTATGATGAAATATCTTCAAATCTGCATAATCAAATAGCACAATAGTTATATACTTTTAATTCGAATACACCAAATAGCACAACAAAACTCTATCCGTTCTAAAGGCTAAGTTCTTCATTAATTGTAAACATGACAAACTATGGATTAATGCATTTCTTTTTCACAAAGCGGGTTAATGCAGTTAAACAAAACAACAAATATAACTTGTACACATACGTAGTTATAAAATTGAAAACCCCTCATTCTCTCCACCCATGACCGAACGCCATCAGATCCCCCGGTCCTTTCCTAATCCTAAGACCTAACAAATAATATAATTACAAAAATCCAAAATAAACATTGGCTCTTGAGACGCAACGACAAATTTCATTGAAGATCTCGAGTGAGGATTGGCCTATTGGGGAAAAGGGCGGACTGTGTTCTTGCGGAGAAATAATAAATCCTTCTCACAAGCAAACAAAATAGATTATTTTCACTTTATTTTTTTGGCTGCAAGGAACGAATGGGATTCTGTTACTTGGGTTTAGGAGTTGGGTTTTGGGTCTGTAAATAAAAGAAGGCTGGGCCGAAATGAGTGAGAGGGTTGGAAATGTGGGTTATGCCAGGAGGAAGGCTGGGCCCGGGCCCAGTGTGGCCCAGCCCTGGATCCGCCACTGCTCAAAATGAGTGATAGTTAAATCTCTCGTTTTCGTTGAGATTGTTGAGATTGTTTGATGGAGATTGTTGTGTTTTCTTTTTCTTCCAAATATGTCCCTACCTTTTTATGTGTGTTGCTTTTTTAGATTAAAAACAAAGGGTAAAAGTGATATTTCACCAAAAAAGTGATATAATTTATTTAAATACCACAATAACTATCACAGAAACCAAACGATGTAAACTACAATACACCAATTTTCTTATATACATGTATATTATTATGCATGCATTGATGACAATACATCAATTTAACTATATATAAAACATATGTGATGCAAATTTACTTACAATCCAACAAATGACATCAACTTTTAAATTCATATAATAAACGATAAATTATTTTTTTTATTAATTAAATTCCCTAAAAAATGTCATTTTGCTTAGAATTTGTAAGTATGTAATGCCAGTCATAGAGTGTTGACGTCAGTTCTGTGACTGGTACAAGTTGAACGAGGTTCAACCGGCCGGCATGCCAGTGACATGATGCATGTCGAAGACGGAAACGGGAACAAGAAGTTGCAGTTCGAGAGAGTGTTCGATGAAATTGAGATTAACAATGATGAGAGTAGTGAACCTAGCTACCATGGCGCTAGGGTTTAAACGAGAGCAAAGCCAGACGTGGGAGGGTTAAAAATGAAAAGATTTGTTTGTAATGGGGCTATCCACGGGGATTTAACCAATAATAGCACCTATTAAAAAAATTACAAAAATAGCATCCAGCCCACAACGTTTACAAAAATAGCACCATTTTTATCAAACCGCACCTCCAAGGTGCGTTTTATAAATAAACTGCACCCTCCAGGTGCGTTTTATGTATAAACCGCACCCTCCAGGTGCGTTTTGCGCCACGTCAGACTGGGAACCGCACCTCCAAGGTGCGGTCTGTGTTTGGTGGGCAGCGGCCTTGGAGACCGCAGGATCGTGTGGCGATCTAGCGGGCAGAACGGACGCCACGTCAGCGATCCGTGTCGTGGATCGCAGAACGCAGCGTGGAGAAGCGGTCAGCGCATCGTGGATCGCAGAACGCCTCGAGAAGGAGCGGTCAGCGCCTCGGGACGCGAAGACCGCATTGGAAGGGAGTGGTTTCCGCTCTAGAAAAATTACCAGACCGTCCCTGGAGGGTGCGACCTGATGGGTATAAATACCCCCTCCCCCCTCTCATTTCTTCACACCACAACCATTCTCCACTATCTCTCTCTAGAATTATCTCTCTAACCCCTCCCTTCCCAAAAGCCTAGGAAATAGTGGTCTGTTGGTTGCGGCTAAGTCCGATCTGCCATCAGAAAACATTTCTTTGGTTTTTCCCTCAAAACCCGCCGAATTTATGTCCGACTTTCGCGAAAAAATGGACGAGTGGTTCCAAGAAGAGGGAGTTTATTATGATGAATTTCAAGCGGTACGTACTCATTATTTTGGTCAATTTTTGTTTTTGTTATAAGCATTTTAATTAATCTATGTACTAACCTTGTTGTTATTCTCTCGTAGGTTGGGGACGACGTGAATATATACAACCAACGGTACTATTTGGATCAAGGGCCTATTGATCCGACCTACTTGTATGACCAACCCAACCATCGTTCAAGGGGTGTTTGGAACGATCACACGGTACATACAATCCTTCATTATTTATCTTTCTTTTATTTTGCTAATGTACTTAGTGGAATATAAAATAAATTTGAAATAATTTAATCGTATTGGTTGTTTTCAATAATTTAATCGAATACATAGCGCCACTTACTTCGACTCTTTATAAAGAGATGCAGGTCTAAGGAAATGGCGTTTTAAGAGATTATCATGATCCTCCCATTTCCTGGGAAAATCGGGTATTAAGAGATCCTCGGATCCCCCATTTTTTCTGTCAAAAACGCTGCGTTTCTAAGAAGATGTATACCTCTTCTAAGAGTCTAAAGAGTGTTGCATTGGATTCGATTAAATTATTTAAAACAACCAATACGATTAAATTAATTACCAGACAGCCAATACGATTTATGTTTATTGTACTTAAATGAATATATTAATTTCAAATGTTTGAATATGTATGTATCTCTTTAAATTATTATTCATTTAGAAGGTTATTTATGTCAATTAATTTAGTATGTTTGTTTTATGATAATATGTATATATCTTGGAAAAACCGCAAATTACTTAAATTTGATTGTCAATATTATAATTTTAATAGAATTATATTCAAAATTAAATCATTAATTTTAGTTAATTTAGTTATAAGACTAAACTATTACTAATATATCATAAATAATTTTAATAATGGTTGAAATTATATCATTAATTTTAATTGATTTAGTTATAAGACTAAACTGTTACTAATATATTATAAATAACGTTGAAATTTTTGCTAGGAGGCATAACAAATAATCCGCTACAGGGGGTACGACCAATGTGCTCCCATGGAACCCAGTTATCTTGCAATATCTCAAAAGGGCACGGTTGGAGTCGATTAGGCATTTTTTAGGCATAAAAGTCGATCGCCAACTCATCACCGAATTGGTGGAGAGATGGAGAAAGGAGACACATTGTTTCAACTTTGGTGAAAGAGAGTGTACCATCACACTCAAGGACGTCGCCATCCTAACTCATCTGCCTATCGACGACAAAGTGGTGTGTGTGAGTGATCATCCCCCCGAGGATCATGATGGTATGACCGGTTGGCAATATTTCATCCATAGTGTTTTGGGGGTGAAAGTACCAACCGAGGGGAGCGTTGATGCGACGGGTCGCTTGCCACCATTGAGGAAATGCCAAGTATCAATCACTTGGTTGACGAAGTATTTTAGGGACCATCACGATCCTGAAAAAGATGGGGTGCCCCTAACCGAGGAAAGTCCGGAGCTGGAGAAGGAAAGATATGCTCGTGTCTATCTCATAGGCATGATTGGAGGAGTGTTCTTCTCCAAAAAAATCGAGCAATTTAATTAGCTGTGGATGGCTTAGGATCCTCCTTGGTAGTTGGGAATAACCAAGCGTGAACTTTTGGAATGTCATCTGCAAAGAAACAGTAGTTCAACTAATATCATAATAATCACAAATCACAAATCACAATAAAAAGTAATACAAAATAGACTTACGAGTTAACGTTACCTGCAAAAACACTAGAGAAATAGGGAGCTAGAATAGAAAATTGAAAAGGGAGAAGGAGAGGTGTGAAGAGAAGAAGAGTTCCCGGGCTGTATTTTATAGGCAAAATCATCAATGAAAACCGCACCTTAGAGGTGCGTTTTTCATCTGCCAAGCAGCCCCACGTCTGTAAATCTGCATGGCTGCATGCTCGGTGTCGGAAAATAATTGACACAAAAACCGCATTGGGGGGGGGGGGGGGGGGGGGGTGGTTTGTTTTGGAGAAGCAAAACCGCACCCCCAAAGTGCGGTTTTGGTAGGTCAGGCCTAGACCGCATCTGGGCCATGCGGTTTGGTTAGGCCAGACCGCAAACCGCATGGCCAAGATGCGGTTTTGGCCCAGAAAACTAAAACGCACCCCCAAGGTGCGGTTTAATGACAAAACGCACTAGGGAGGTGCGGTTTACATGCAAAACGCAGCTGGGGGTGCGGTTTATAAAAAATGGTGCTATTTTTGTAATTTCTACGGAATGGGTGCTATTTTGTAATTTTTTTTAAAGGTGCTATTTCTAGAAAAATCCCCTATCCACGTGGATGGAAAATCGACTACCATGGTGAACGGGCTCAAATAGGGGTGGGCATCCGGTTCGGTAAATCCGAACCAAACCGGATCGAAACCGATCCAGACCAAACCGAAACCGGATATCATTAATTCGGTTCGGAATTCGGAAACCAATACTACACGTTTCGGAAACCAGGACATGCACAACCGAAACCGAATTCCGATAAACCGAAATAAAAAAAGAGATGACATACTAAAAAAGGCCACTCAACTACATAGCCCAATTTACGGCCCAAAACCAGCTGACTTCCTAGCCCAACCTTGCGAAACCCTATTGCGGCCGATTCTCATCTCTTCAGCAGTCTCCGCCAACTCCATCGCTTTCATATCTCATCTTCGTCCACCATAGAAAAACCAAAGTGAGAAAGAAACCAGGTCAGCTCTCCGCCGTGAGTCTATCTTTTCTCTCCGCCCTAGGTGTGTCTCTTTCCTTCAAGGCTTCAACCTAAAAAATTGGAAAAATAAGCAAAGGTCAGAAATCAGATCTCACGATCCTCTCTCTTTAGGCAAAATAAGATCTCCAAACCGACATGCAACCCAAATAGAAACATACCTTTGAACTTCCTCATAGCCGGAATCGTTGTATGAGAGTAAGATTGGCAGCAGGGTTGCGTTTCATCTTCCTTCCTTTCTTTCTTCCTTCCTTCCTTCCCTTATATTCTGCTTTTTTTTCTCTCTCTCTAGGGCAATGGAAATTGGCCTAGTGGGGGGGTTGGTTCAATGGTGGCGGATGGGATGGGTAGGAAAGGTAAGGAAGGTAGAGAGCTAGAGGGAGAAAAGTATAGAAGGGAATCGAGAGGAGAAAAGTGAGAGAGAGTAAGAGTCAGAGAGGCGAGATAAATGGTCTGTGTGGGCTTGGGGTCTATTGTTGCCTAGCAACACAAAAACGCAACACAACAGCATTTTTGGTTTTGGGCAGAAAACCGAATCGAATCGATTTATAACTCGGTTCGGGAAAACCGAACCGAATTATAATTTGGTTCGAATTCGGTTTGCCATCCACTTGGAATCGGAATACCGGTACTCATCTGTTCGGTTTGGTTCAAACCGAAACGACCGAATGCCCACCCCTAGGCTCAAACAATGTTGAACCCCCCTTAATGCCAACTCATTGTCATCTGTACAACCGGTTCAAATTCCCACTGCTCTGCCTCTCGCTGGCTTCCTCAGGAACCCACTATCCTGCCGACAAACAATGCTGGAGATCGCACCTTAATTTCAGATGTTTTACTATTTTGCTTGAAGTTCCTCTAGATTCTCTTCCTCCATGGCACACTAATTTCAAAGTCAACTCCGTTTTCACCAACTTGATTCTTCTCAAACGCGGGCCCAAACTCGATTCTTCGGAGGGTGTTGATCAAGCAATCTGTAGCGGTGGTAAACTCCCTGTCGACGAACCACAAAAGCTTTGACTTCAGCTGCGTTGGTGCTTTCTCAAACGCTTGCCCGATCCTGGTTCTACAGAGACTGCTGATCATGCAACCCGCAACGTGGTGTTGATCAGACTTGCTTCACTCCCAATATTGGGTAGAGATAGTAATTTCGGCCCACAGATTTCATGATCTTTCCTGAATACCTCTGTCATAATTCTCGGGTATGTTTTCCTCCCTACACCAGTGTTAATTTTGGTTCTTTTCACCATCGTTGATTGTCGTGTAGTGATTTTCAAACCTAAGGTTGTACTCAGTTATGCGGAGTGTGCACTGCAATTGACTTGGTAATGGGATAGACCCAATACTATTGTCCCTCAGAGAGTTAGATCTTTCACGCTTCATACTTCTAACTAAATGCATGTGAACTTGCTCACAAATTGGTTTTACTTCATTAGCCAAGACAATATAGTGTGTCCTGCTATAGCAGCCTGCCACTACCTAGACATAATTGGAGAGAAATGGCCATTAAATTGAGGTTAATAACCTTATGGAAATTGGATTAAGGGTGTTAATAATTAAATTGAGGTTGCTAACCTAATGCAAAATTAAATAAATGCTTACTAATTTAGCCTTTTTAAAGGTCCCAAAACAGTGGTGAAGAGAATTGATAAGATGCAGAGGAGATTTGTGTGGAGTGGAGCAGGTGATAGCCAAAACATTCCCCTTTTAAGTTGGGATATCTATAAAGCTTCAAAGGACAATAGGGGTTTGGGGGGATTAAGGACCTAGAGTGCTTTAATAAAGCAATGTTGGCTAAGTGGTTGTGGCGGTTTGCAGTGGAGAGAGGAAGTTGGTGAAGAAACTTAATTAGTGTGAAATATCTAAATCCTCATTCTGTTTGGTATACTAGTTACAAGAATAATGGGTATGCCAGTTTGGTATGGGTCAATATTTCAATAGAATATGAATGGTTCTGGAAGCTGGGTTAATTGATCTAGGAGGAGGAGCAGGGGTCTCCTTTTGGCATGATTGTTGAGTCCCTGAAATGATTCTCGCCGACAAGTTCCCTCGGGTCGTCGTTGTTTTCACCCATCCTGATGCCTGCATTGTGGATATTTCAAGTTGCTCAGGCGAGAGTGTTATGTGAGAATTTAACTTGTTCATGTCTTTTAAATTTACTTAGTTCCATTGACAGTTATCGTTTTGCTAACGGACCATGTATCTAAGGCTTCCTTTTCAGTGAATTCCATGTACATGTGTTTAGCCATGAATCGTTTACCTAGGCAAGGCTGCTTCACTTCCTGGAAGATTCAGTTTGGAGGAAGATCTTCCCAGCAAAGGTGTGCACCTACATATGGATGGTAGCTCATAAGGAAATCCCCACACTAGATAACTTGAAAAGGAGGGGATGGTCGCTTGCCAACAAATGCTCCTTGTGCTTGAGAAATAAAGAGTCCATTGATCATCTATTCATTGACTGCGAGTTTTCCAAGGAAGTCTGACCAAAGTTAAGAGAGGCTGCACCGACGTCGATCCACAATCAGGAGATATTCTATCATCTATATAATAAGCAGATGTGGGGGGGGGGTGAAACAACCAGATACTCTTAGCGACAGGATGGTAAATTGTCCCCTTCACGCGGTGTGCTGGCAGGTTTGGTTAGAAAGAAACATGGTAAATTGTGCCCTTCACACGGTAAAGTTATTAGAGATCATGGTATGGGGTGGCTCAGAGATAATTCTTTCGTTGCTTGAATTTTGTGGTCTCGGTAGTGGGGTTGCTGTCTTTTGAGTGTGTTGCTGGTGGCGATCCCTATGAGGTAAGATGTGGCCTGGTGGTTGTCTCCATGCCCATTGCTCTTCAAAAGACCCGCATGTGGGTGATCTGTTTGTGGTTTGATAGAGCTCTTTTATGATTTTGTTAGGGGTGCTGATGTACGTTGGATTTTCCAGAGGTTGGGTGCTTTTCTATTGCTTACCCATGTTGGCAGGGCTTTTTATTGTAGCAGGGATGACCTGCTCCATCTAGCTGCACGGGCTTGCTTGTTTGCTTCTCCTGGTTTTGTCTATTCTTGATTTTTCAGGTTGCTTTTTCCTTTGTTTGGCTGGTTCAATTCTTGTGCTGGTCAAGCATGGTCTTGTTAATTAGATGACACAAGTCATGTTTGATACTATGATTTTGCAGTAGGTAATTACTGACTCAGCATGTGTTTTTACTATATTAGTCTTTGTGTTACACAATATGTTCCTATCTTATGTATACATATAATGGAAATGATTTCCGACTTTTGTTGTTGAGTTTCATAGTTGAGATTAACAATTTGAGGTTTACTTCACTGTGAGTATTTATATTTGGGAGCTGTGGATTGTGGGTTTGATAGTAATGAAGATTCCATCCCTACTTATGTTCCCTATCTTATGTATACATATAATGGAAATGATTTCCGACTTTTGTTGTTGAGTTTCATAGTTGAGATTAACAATTTGAGGTTTACTTCACTGTGAGTATTTATATTTGGGAGCTGTGGATTGTGGTTTTGATAGTAATGAAGATTCCATCCCTACTTATGATAAAATTTCCAAGGACGGGCCAGAATCCCAAAGACATTCACAACCCAATCAGTGTAATTAATTATACTCATCAATCTTTAATTCGAGTATATGAGTAGCAGTCAATTGGAGCAAGCAAAGATTTCGAAGATAAAATGGAAAATTGGTGGAGGTCACACACTCACACAAGCGGGGGAATGTGTATTCTTCTATTATGATAAAACTTACGTGTAGTTTGGAATTACTCATCTATGTGGCTTTCTCTAACTATACGAACCAAGCCCTCTAATATCATAGAAATTCACCTTCATATAAACTAAATCATATAAATCTTTGAAGCACATCATAGCTAGTTCATGTCATTCCTTAATCTAGAAAGAAGGGTTCATAATAATAGTCAGGTGATTAAAGGCTGTTTCTCCACTACATGCACTAACACACATACACAGAGGGAAAAAGGGAAAGTGGAATGAGCTTGTTGTGTATGGTGCAATTGATGACTCGGTATTTGCACATGTTTTCCCCTTTGTTTCTTGATTGTTTGAGCTTGAATTATTGTGTCTTTGGCCTATTTTATGCTAGGTTGTATTCCTTTGTCCCATTTCAGGTCCTAGCACATAAAGTGAAGCATAGGCGCAAGTTTCAAGTCAATCAGAGATCAATTGACGATTCGAGAGAAGAAACTCGGGCATGACCTGAAGAAGAATGGATTTCTACCTCACTTTATGGACAAAGAATCATGAAAGCTTGTTATGAAACGAAAGAGGACGAGACTACGAGCGTCTAGGATCAAACGGCGATTGATTCGGAGTCCGGACGAGGGAGAAACGAAGCATTAAACAGAGGCTGAGCAAGCTGCACGGGCAGACCAGGGAGGCTGCACGGCCGTGCACGTGAGCAATATGGCCGTGCGCCTTATGCCGAGGACACGCACGGGCAACCCCTGAAGCTCGCACGGCCGTGCACCCTGGCCGTGCGAGAGGGCTGAAGTTCGACTAAATGACACGCTGCGTTTTGAGTTGCACGGCCAGAATGGTGATATGCACGGCCGTGCACCCTGGCCGTGCGAGTCGGGATTTCCTGGTTTTAAGCCAAATTCCGAACCAAAGAAGAGGAGAGCTGGGTTTTGGATCCCAAACACCCAAGGGATGAACCCTAGAGAGAGAGAGGGCGATTTGAGGGCATTCTTGGAGTAGAGAAGGAGGATTTCTTCGCCTTGGAAGCTCGAGGAACAAGCCCGGACTTGAAGACTGATCATCTGAAGATTCTTACTGCAGTCTCTCTCTTCTCTATGGAGTAACTTCCCTTCACTTAGGTTTTGAGGAACCCTAGCTATGTTTGTTTGATTGGATGATTGTATGAGTACTCTGACTGGATAATCTTGAGTTCATATTCAATCTATGCATGTTTTCATGATTCAATTCTGCTTTAGTCGAGATTATTGATTCTGCTTTGATCCTATGAGAGGGAATACCTGATTAGGTCAATAGAGCACCATAGATTGATAGTAGTGGATCGATTGCTTTAGTCGAGGGTTGATTCACTGCTTTGTATCGATTGAGAACCCCTTTCGATAGAGGGAGTCTAGTTCAGAACGCCTTGATCAGTTGTTCTAGAGAAGGATACGTCCCTCTAGGCAATTGACTCAAGAGGGCCTTGTTCCTTTAGTCGAGACTCAAGGTCTAGTCAAGGATTCTCCGCATTGTGAATGAAAGTGAAACAAGTTAGAAATCATCAATCGTTAGTCTGGCTAGTGGCTAGGGGGAATCATACCTAAGTGAGTTCCCAACCTGTAATTAGATTAACTTTAACTGTAGTTTGCTAGAGTAGTTTTAGTTCTTTCATCTTAATCTGATTTGCTAAATAATAAACTGAAGCTGAGTAATAGTAACTCTAGAGACCCGTGGATTCGATATTTATCACTTGAGCCACTATACTGCAGTCCCTTTCATTGGTTACACTTGGCCTTTGTTAGGTGTTGTGTTTTAGAGCATCAAGTTTTTGGCGCCGTTGCCGGGGACTTTCTAGAGTATTAGGAAAGGCAGAAGTTTGTTACTTTAGCGTTTTTCGTTTCTTTTCTTTTCCACCCTTGCTTTTCACTTGGGTGTTTTTGTTTTTGTTGGTGCAGATCTGAATCATGGATCCTAATGGCTTCTCCAATCATTGGGGGTATCCACCACCATCTGGGTGGTATTACCCCGAGACTCCGTGGAGCAATCAAGGCGGAGAAGACTATGGATTTGGGTTCCAGTACCAACCCCCTTACTATGGAGAACAACCGGACCCCTGGGCATATCAAGAACAACCTCATTATCAAGAAGAATTTCTCCCACAACCAGAAGGGCCATCGGCACTGGAGTTACTCATGGAGCAGTATGCTCGAGACTGTGAGAGGACATGCTCCAGGATGGATCAGTGTGTCCAGGCCTATCGTGAAACAGATGAGATTCTCCTGAGCCTTAAGAAGAGCGTCGATGATCTTGAGCGATCTTGGGCGCAACCTGCTCCAGATCACCCTTCTGCTACCATACAAGAAGAGGAGGAGGAAGAAGAAGGCTACAAGGGCATTGTGGAACACACTGAAGTTGTCACGGAGAGCTCCCGTGATGATCATGATCAGGCCTGTCATGTCGTAGCCGACCACACCTTCCCACACCCCAAACTGAGCTTTGAAGAGGCGGGCATGAGTGAGGAGATGCAAGAAGATCTCATGAAAGAAATTGCTTGGCAACTTGCTCTCCAATCCGTGCTAGAAGAAGAAGAGCAAGAAAGGGTGCAGAAAGAAGTTGTGGAGGATGACGAAAGTGAAGCTAGAGGAGTTCTTGATCATTTCCCAGGGGTGATACCACATGAAGAAGGAAGGGAGGTTGAAGAGGCGATTGGCGTCCAGGCTGAGGACGAAGTTGAGGTGGAAGAGGCTTGCACCGGCCATGAGTTACATGTGATATCTCCATCAAACTTCGAGGAACTGCTTAGCAAGGACCCATTTGCAGTGTCTCTTTGCCAGACCAAGGCCACATCGACATCGGTCCCTCTTGGTGGACGCGATGGTGGCCAATCGATGTTGTCATATCTGGTTTGGGGCAATGAGACGAGAGAAGAGAAGAAGAGGTCTCGAGGGTGGAGACTTCATCTGCATCAAGTACATGAGCCTTCATCACCTGCCACACCACATGCTCATGACTTGAGACTCCACCTCATCGACGAGAACCTCAACTTCAAGGAGGTTCTAGCATGGACCGAAACTTAGGAGCTATCGTCCGGCTCACGACGTGAAAGAAGCGCTTGTTGGGAGGCAACCCAACCAGTCGGTTTGCATTTCTTTCTCTATTTCTCTTCGGTGGAGTCAGTTTTGTTCTTTGATTTTAGAGTCAATAACTCAACCTTTGTGAGATTTTGTGTGGTGTTTGTGTTCTGATTACTCTCTCTTTCTGGAATGCACCGCCTGACCCGTTCATCATCATTCACCCTTGATCTGGTAACTTCGTTCTACCCTCCTTATCTTTCCTCCATTGAGGACAATGTCGTGCTTAAGTGTGGGGGGATGTTCGATTATGTATGCGGGTGAATGTTTGGCTGTTTGTGTGCTTGGAGCCTAGTCCACTGTCCAAATTTTTAAATTTGAGGGCTCCAAGTACGTGTTTCCGTGCAATTGCCTGCTCAGTATGCTTTGAATTGACAGTCTTTATAGTAATATGCAACCTAGGGAGGTAGTGTAGCACTATGGAGGATGTTGATGCATTTCAGAAGTCTCGTTTCTTCTTCATATTGTGTTGGTTGATTGAGTGAATTAGTGATCTTAGGACCCTTGAATTGTGTGGTGTTGTGGTTTCTCTGCCTGTCATGGACTCTTGTATCATGTTTTGAGTTTAACAGGTGCTCGAAAATGTGCTTCAAAATAACGTCTCCCGTGCGAATAGGGCGAAAGTGTGTAAGGGGAGACGGGAATTCGTTCCCAATTTCCACCTACTACCTCCAGCCCCCTTACATGTCTTTCCCCCGCACGAGGCTCGAGACATCCGCTCCTGGCATGGCCGGTAAGAGCAGGTTGGGACCCTTGAAAGAAAAAAAAAGGAAAAAAATAACAGAAAACAAGCAAAACAGAAAGAAAAGGGGTTCCAACCATCTTCAAAGAAAATCGAGCACCTTGAAAAATGTGAGTCCATGATCTTTTGTTTTTGAGAATCTCTTCATCCACAATTCATTTGTCCTCTGTTCACAGTTTGCCATGATGCCGACTCACCGAAGAAGCTATGAGATGACTTGTGCGTCGGTTGACCTCGTAAGCAGCTAAATGATCTTGGAAGTCCTCTACCTACGATCTGGGGTGTTTGTTGCTATAGAGGTCTGAAGAGTTGCATTGGTTTAAGTTAGGTTTGCTTGGGGACAAGCAAACAGTTAAGTGTGGGGGGATTTGATGACTCGGTATTTGCACATGTTTTCCCCTTTGTTTCTTGATTGTTTGAGCTTGAATTATTGCGTCTTTGGCCTATTTTATGCTAGGTTGTATTCCTTTGTCCCATTTCAGGTCCTAGCACATAAAGTGAAGCATAGGCGCAAGTTTCAAGTCAATCAGAGATCAATTGACGATTCGAGAGAAGAAACTCGGGCATGACCTGAAGAAGAATGGATTTCTACCTCACTTTATGGACAAAGAATCATGAAAGCTTGTTATGAAACGAAAGAGGACGAGACTACGAGCGTCTGGGATCAAACGGCGATTGATTCGGAGTCCGGACAAGGGAGAAACGAAGCATTAAACAGAGGCTGAGCAAGCTGCACGGGCAGACCAGGGAGGCTGCACGGCCGTGCACGTGAGCAATATGGCCGTGCGCCTTATGCCGAGGACACGCACGGGCAACCCCTGAAGCTCGCACGGCCGTGCACCCTGGCCGTGCGAGAGGGCTGAAGTTCGACTAAATGACACGCTGCGTTTTGAGTTGCACGGCCAGAATGGTGATATGCACGGCCGTGCACCCTGGCCGTGCGAGTCGGGATTTCCTGGTTTTAAGCCAAATTCCGAACCAAAGAAGAGGAGAGCTGGGTTTTGGATCCCAAACACCCAAGGGACGAACCCTAGAGAGAGAGAGGGCGATTTGAGGGCATTCTTGGAGTAGAGAAGGAGGATTTCTTCGCCTTGGAAGCTCGAGGAACAAGCCCGGACTTGAAGACTGATCATCTGAAGATTCTTACTGCAGTCTCTCTCTTCTCTATGGAGTAACTTCCCTTCACTTAGGTTTTGAGGAACCCTAGCTATGTTTGTTTGATTGGATGATTGTATGAGTACTCTGACTGGATAATCTTGAGTTCATATTCAATCTATGCATGTTTTCATGATTCAATTCTGCTTTAGTCGAGATTATTGATTCTGCTTTGATCCTATGAGAGGGAATACCTGATTAGGTCAATAGAGCACCATAGATTGATAGTAGTGGATCGATTGCTTTAGTCGAGGGTTGATTCACTGCTTTGTATCGATTGAGAACCCCTTTCGATAGAGGGAGTCTAGTTCAGAACGCCTTGATCAGTTGTTCTAGAGAAGGATACGTCCCTCTAGGCAATTGACTCAAGAGGGCCTTGTTCCTTTAGTCGAGACTCAAGGTCTAGTCAAGGATTCTCCGCATTGTGAATGAAAGTGAAACAAGTTAGAAATCATCAATCGTTAGTCTGGCTAGTGGCTAGGGGGAATCATACCTAAGTGAGTTCCCAACCAGTAATTAGATTAACTTTAACTGTAGTTTGCTAGAGTAGTTTTAGTTCTTTCATCTTAATCTGATTTGCTAAATAATAAACTAAAGCTGAGTAATAGTAACTCTAGAGACCCGTGGATTCGATATTTATCACTTGAGCCACTATACTGCAGTCCCTTTCATTGGTTACACTTGGCCTTTGTTAGGTGTTGTGTTTTAGCGAGTCAGCAATCTATATCAATCTATGATTGCTTTGATAGCTTATTGTCGTATATGTTAGGTTATCATTCTACAATGTACTCACTGTAATTTTTGTTATGTTACTCCTTCAGTTAAGCTGCTAGACTGGTGTGAAGAGCGACATAGGATAGACGCATTTTGAACAAAGCTTCTGCCGTGTGGGTAGTAGTAAGTATAATTAATGACAACTTTATTGGGTTTGCATTACTCCATTCAATGAGTGACTGATTAGTGAAGAATTGTTCACTCTTACTTAACATTTCATTTACTACTTAGTTTATGTGTGATTCTGATCCAACGTCGAAGAATTAAGACTTGATTTCGCGTACTGAATTATAATCCTAAAGAGTACTATTTAAATCTGTGGTTGAATCATGAATTTAGCCTCTTAGTTTACAACTTTCTAAATTTTTACCTTCTTCCATATATGTGTTGACTAAGGCTATTGCATTTATTTCTTTATAAACTCACAATGATATCTCTGATCTCATGTCCATATGGATGGGGCTGACCTTATCTATACTTTATATGTCTCTTCGAAGGATATGAGATTGTTGGCTTGGACTAATTAATCGAAATGACCTTAATGTCTGTATAGTGAATGGAGGTAAGCAATGAAAGTTATTGTAAATATGTTTTGATACCATGCACTTAGCCTTTTACTTTACAACTTCTTAATTTGCTGCCACAACCATATAGGCCTTCAGTCATGGGCTAAACCCTCCAAAAACATGCTTTTTGTTAATCACCTAACAATATCATATAACAAAATGAACATTAAATCAAAGGATTTTGCTTTATAGATTGTTATATGTTTTTTCATGCCTTTGGAATGACAAAGCTCGAGGGCGTCCTATTATGGTGTCATACTTTTCATTCATATTTGGCATATCTTTGTTGTCTTGTCCTGTCACCTCCTATCTATGTTTTGCAGTAACTTGGAGTACCACCGACATCTAGGTAGAAGGCTATGTTCCTGCTCTTGTGAATACATGTTTCTCAATTAACAATGGTCACTTTTGTCATTTAACTTAGTTCAACTAATAAAGGTTGAGCCGCTTAACCAAAGTTTTAGAAGTAGTATTTTATAGCAAGTTAGCATCTATGGTCTTTTAGCATTCTACCAAACACTACAATGAGAATGAGTGCACTGAAAAATTAGTGACTAGCTAGACAAAGGATATTGTTTTACTAACCCTTGAATTTTTAGTTCATTAGATTCCAACAAGCACTAGAAAGGTGTCAACAAGAAGTAGAAGACGAGTACACGTCGTGTACTCCCAACTTGAATTTTTTGTTCATTAAATTTGTAGTGTTTATAACCCCTCAAGATGGCGAGTACACTTCATGTACTCCCAACTTGTTCAACAAGAACTACAACCTAGCTATTAGGCTTCACCTATCAACCGAGTCCTCTCCCTCTCTACCCAACACTCTGACAACCACATGATGCCTTCTCCTTCAGAGTCGCTCACATTCTAGGCCTAGACCCACTTATTGGTTTCTGACATTGACGACAATTCAAAAGTGATATTTTTCTACCAAAGTTTTGTGATAAAAACATTTTTACTTGGCGTGGTCTTTGTTGATTTTACAATAGAAATGCAATAGAATGTTCAACAAGTGATGCGATTTTCATGTACGAACAAGCCTAGCTAGTATGAATTCTTGAACAAGCCTGAAGCAAATCCCAAGCCTCTAGATGCAATAAAAGACTAACAGTGGCCAAGAGGTTGTCCTACCCGCTGTAATGCATTAAAACTGATTTTTGCTGAAGGGGCCAACAAAATCAAGAGAGACATGGGGACCAAGTTTCAGCCCATTTTAACAATGTGATGAAGACTATGGTGGTCCAGAATGACGTTGGCCGCGCCACTGATTCTAGAAGCCTCTTCTAGCCATGCAAGCCAATGATTTTGAACGATCCTTTTATTTTTACTCATAACTTGGCAGCTACTATAATTGTCTTGCTCTTGTACATTGATGATATGGTTGTGATGACTCGATATTTGCACATGTTTTCCCTTTTGTTTCTTGATCGTTTAAGCTTGCATTATCACTTCTTTGACCTATTTTACGCTAGGTTGTGTTCCTTTGTCACATTTCAGGTCCTAGCACATAAAGTGAAGCGTAGGCGCAAGTTTCAAGTCAATCGGAGATCAATTGGCGACTCGAGGGAAGAAACTCTGGTATGGATTGAAGAAGAATGGATTTCTACCTCAGTTTGTGACCATATAATCATGTAATCTTGTCATGAGAAGAAAGAGGACGAGACTACGAGCGTCTGGGATCAAACGACACCTGATTTGGAGTCCGAACGAGGGAGAAACGAAGAATCAAAGTTAGGGGAAAATTGGTTTCGGGCTTCTCTGAGAAACAGAAGGGGGCCCTATCGTGACGCTAAAATCCCCGGTAGGGGATTTTTGGCCTTGACCGGGGATTTTCCCCTGTCCCCAATGGTGCGTTTTAAAGATACCCGATCTACACCTATAATACCCGACCGAGTATTATGACCGTGGATCGCGAACGCAGGCTGTTAAAAGCCTGTTTTGTGCGTTTTTGCAAGGAGAAAGCTGGGTTTTGGATCCCAAACACCCAAGGGACGAACCAAAGAGAGGGATAGAGGGCAATTTGAGGGCATTCTTAGAGTGGAATTGGAGGATTTCTTCGCCTTGAAAGCTCGAGGAACAAGCCCGGACTTGAAGACTGATCATCTGAAGATTCTTACTGCAGTCTCTCTCTTCTCTATGGAGTAACTTCCCTTCACTTAGGTTTTGAGGAACCCTAGCTATGTTTGTTTGATTGGATGATTGTATGAGTACTCCTACTTGATAATCTTGAGTTCATATTCAATCTATGCACATTTTCATGATTCAATTCTGCTTTAGTCGAGATTATTGATTCTGCTTTGATCCTATGAGAGCGAATACCTGATTAGGTCAATAGAGCACCATATATTGATAGTATTGGATCGATTTCTTTAGTCGAGGGTTGATTCACTGCTTTGTATCGATTGAGAACCTCATTCGATAGAGGGAGTCTAGTGCAGAACGCCTTGATCGGTTGTTCTAGAGAAGGATACGTCCCTCTAGGCAATTGACTCAAGAGGGCCTTGTTCCTTTAGTCGAGACTGAAGGTCTAGTTAAGGATTATCCGCATTGTGAATGAAAGTGAAACAGGTTAGAGATCATCAACCATTAATATTGCTAGTGGCTAGGGAGAATCATACCTAAGTGAGTTCCCAACCTGTAATTAGATTAACTTTAACTATAGTTTGATAGAGTAGTTTTAGTTCTTTCATCTTAATCTAGTTTTCTAGATAATGAACTGAAGCTGAGTAATAGTAACTCTAGAGACCCGTGGATTCGATATTTATTACTTGAGCCACTATACTGCAGTCCCTTTCATTGGTTACACTTAGCCTTTGTTAGGAGTTGTGTCATAGCGTGTCAGGTTGTCACTGTCACAAATCGAGAGGTTATTCAGCGTCTCAAGGATGGTGTGTGCGCTTCTTTCAGTTTCAAAGATATAGGAAAATATTAATATTTTTTAGCTCGTGAAGTCACACGCAGATCTCAGGGACTATTACTTAGCTAACAAAAGTACATTGTTGACTTACTTGCAGATCATCAGTTTGAAGACTGTAAGGCGATTTCAACTCTTATGAAGCTGAACCTGAATTTAAGTATGTACTCCCTTGATCAATGACACAGTTTATCATAGTATAGTTGGGAGTCTCATATACTTGTCTGGTACTCGGCCGGATATATCTTATGTTGTCCACATTGTTGGCCAGTTTATGGCTTCCCCATGTACTGATCATTTTGCTGTTGTTTACTGAATTTTGCTTTACTTGCAAGGCACTCGAGATGTTGGTATGTTCTTTCATTCTACCGGATCTTCTAGTCTCAGTTCATATTCCAACTCTAACTTTGATGGTTGCACTGACACTCGACGTTCTACTATGGGGTGTTGTATTCAGTTTGGTGGAGCTTTCATCCCTTGGTGTTGTAAGAAACAAGACAAAATATCTAAGTATTCTACTGAAGCGGAGCAAAAGGCTAAGTCTGATGTGGTTTTTGAACTTGTCTGGTTATGGCGTCTTCTGCATGGTTTGGGTATCTCCTGTCATATCGCTATGGATCTCTTTGTGAGCAACATAAATGCTATTCACATTGCTGTTAATCTGGTGAGTCATGATCGCACGAAGCATGTCGTGATACATGTGCACTACGTTTGTGATCTTGTTCGTGATTATACATTGACTCTCCACTATGTTCGTGGTAGAGGACTAGAGGTGTCAATCGGGCGGGTTCAGGCGAGTTCGGGTTGGGTTCATTCGGGTTATGGGTTAGTCGGGTTTAAGTTTCATCGAATTGTATTACTTACTCTTCACTCGTTACAACTCACTCTTTATATATTACAATAATAATATTTTTTTCAATTTTTAGACAATCTATTTCTACCTTATTATGCATTTATAAAATTTTCAAGTATTTATAAAAGTTGAAAAAATTGTCAAAGTGCTTAATTAATTTTGTATTCTTTTACATGATTGAGTTACTGTAATGGTATGACTTAACAAACCAATCTTGACCCTCATTTTGAAACTAAAATGCAACTCGAGCACACCTTAAATGAGCGAAATTTTTACTTTAGTATTGTAATAACGTTCATGTAGGGCAGAAGATGCAAAGAAGCATGGAACATAAGCGATTGATTTATTTTGATAAGATGACTAATGATAGGTTCCGTAATTTATTATATCCAATTAGCCATGTCCTATATGTCTATAATAAGGTTTACTATAGAAAATATCTTAGTAGCGGTCATGAAACTAGCATGAACACGATCGGTATGGCCAACATGATCGACTTAAAAATTATAAGCAAAATGACATCATTTTAGTGAATTTAATTAATAAATAATTTATTATTTATATTATGGATTTAAAAGTTAAAAATTGATGTTATTTGTTGGATTGTAAGTAAATTGCCCTCAAATATGTTTTACATATGATTAAACTTGTTGGATGTTAATTGTTTCACATTTTGTTAAACCAACATGAACCGGCACAAACCAGTTGTAACACCGACGGTACTATTCTACTTGCCAAACTAGCACAATGATATAAACCGGTTCGACAACCTTGCTCATAACTATAAAGATTGTGATAATCACATCGGTAAATAATTATGTATATGATCTATAATGTAAAATAATATGCATTGAGATAGTTCGAGTGACGTTTTTAAGAGAATATAACTATATCTTAGTTACTAATGTTAAACTCCTAAAAACTATTATATGTAAACATTATTATAATACAACTTATAAGCAATTAAGTATATGATTTATAGCCAGTTAATCATTCCGTATAAGGATATAATTTTGTCATTTAGCGTTGGCATCCACATAAAAATTCAAGATTTATGTTTGAAAATACTAAAATTTTGAAAGTTGAATCACCAAAAGATTGAAAGCACCAAATTATTTTCTTCTTTCTTTTCCCCAACATTGAAAAATACCAAAAATTTCCTGCTTCTCTTACCATAAATTAAAAGGCTTCAAATTTCTCTCTTCTTTCCCTTACTAAAAAATGAAGTCACCAAATTTGATAACACATAAATTTCTCTCTTATTTCTCTTTTCATAAATCAAAAGCAGTAAAACACCAAAATTTAGCACTTCTTTCTTTTTCGATAAATCAAAAGCACTAAACTTTTTTCCTTCTTTATTTTTCTAAAAATGGAAAGAATCAAATTTCCCTCTTCTTTCTTTTACCAAAATTTTTAAAACACTAAATTTTTTCTCTTTCATTTAAAATATTCAAATTATCAAATGATTACTTAACTATATCCATATTTAATTGATAAAATGGTTGAATACTTAAATTAACAAGAATTTTAATGCATATTGCTATATTAATGTTATACATTGTCTCAATTGTTAATTATTTATTATCAATATTTGCCTTATACTGATTTAATTTTTTTTAATTTGGTTAAAGAAATTATGTTTTAATTTTTGTAGTTAAAAACATAATTTAAGTGAATTTCATATTTTAAGCATCTGTTACGAAATGAAAAAAACGGTTTTACTTAGGTTGATTCGTTGAGGATGAAAAACTTTATTTTGAAAGATTATATATTATTATATAATATAGTAATTATTTAGGTCAATCAGGGTTAGGGTTAGTCGGATTCGGGTCAATCGGGTTACAAGTTAATTGGGTTACCAGTTTAATCGGGTTGTGGGTCACTTAGATTAATCAGGTTGTGGGTCATTCGAGTTGCAAGTTAATCGGGTTGTGGGTCAATCAGATTACAGGTAGGCCGGGTTGCGGGTTGTTGACTTTTAGTTAATTTGGGATGCGATTGGGTTACAGGCCGGGTTCTATTTTGACACTTGTAGTTCGTACTGAAGACGAAGTAGGCAATCTCCTTATGAAGGCTTTTCTTATTAGTCCGTATTGGTATCTCTCGAGTAAATTAATGATCTCCAATCGACATCAATTTGGGGAGGTCATTAGCGGATCGTGCCATTTGTCACGGGCCACTTGTACATAACCCGTCGACAAGCCCATGAAGCCCATGCATGGAGACAACATCGGACATTGGTGTGTCTCCTAGGGTTCGACCTTCTTCTTTGATTTGGGTGTACATATATTGTTGGAAATTTGATTGATTCGGACTTAACCAAATCAAACCGATTTTGGATTAGACCAACAAATCACATCCAGTTTTCTGAAAGATGTGATGCCAAGCTTTTTGGAAAGCCATGTCCACATAATTTGAATAAATGTATACGTTGCATGGCAATGTTGGAACTTGGTTGTTAGCTTAAAAACAATGCACGTTTTCATTGTTCAAATTTAGTGGCAAGAAACTCGTGTTTATCCTTGACGGTTTGGAAATTGGGATAAAGAAACACATTGTTTGGCTAAATAATATTTCATGGACGGTCATGAACTTTCATGACAACGTTTCATTGAAATGAAATTATGGGTTTGGCCAAAACCTTGGCATTCACGGTTTTCTCCCAACCGCCACAAAGTTGAAAGATTGCAATCTTTCAATGGCAACTATTCGTACACTATAAATACAGGTGGTACGTGATGGGTGAAAATATACACAAGACACCAAAATCGATTCTTCTTCCTACTAAACTTCTAAGTATGCTTTAGGTACTTAAGCCTGGAACCTAAAGTGGTGATAGTTTTATCCTACGAAGAAATTTCCTGTAACCCTAGACTTGTTGAGGGTGGAAATATTCTTTACGGAAAGTGAACGTCGTTCACGACTCTATCATAATCCTAGTTACCTGTCTCAGGCTATCGTACGTGTACCCTCTTGCTTCTAAAAAGTCCCAACATATATAGCTTTTTTTTTTACAGTAACATATATAGCTTCGGTAGCCATTATTGTACAGTTTGAGAGAGTAATAATATCAGTAGTTTGGAGAGTGTTCAAACTCTCCCATAAATTAGTTCTAATCATCATAAATACCATATAAATAATCGTTTGTGCTTTTATTTTAGGTATAATTTGTTTAGTTTGATGAGGAATTTTACTATGTTTTAAAGTATTAGTACTTTAGTTTTTGTTTTTATGGTACAACTTTAGATTGTACCTATATTGTTGGGCATTGCTATTCGTCATCATAAAATACCTTATTCGTCGCCCTAACTTTTATTAAAATTACTTAAATATCCTTAAGTTAATTCTTATCTTTCAAAACATAATAAACACTAAAACAAAGTAACAAACACATACAACTATGTTTAATAACAAAATAAAATAGCGAAATTAATGAATTACAAGTTACAAATACACCAAAATAATAAAAAATGGAATAAATGTAAATAACTCAGGTACGTTCGTACCCGCCGCTAGAAGCGCCGGAGATGGGTTTTCAACCCTTCCGGGCAGCTGGAAACCAAAAAAAAAAAAAAAAACTCTCTGCTCGGCAAGTGCGAGGTGAGACAGAAGATGAAGGTCGAGCCGAGGAGAAAGGAGAAGTTTGAGTCTGCCTTCGCTCGTCGTCGTCACCGAAGAAGAAGTTCGCTCGTCGTAGCCGCCAACCTCTACTTCCGTTCTCTGCCCAGCCGTCCTCTGCTTCCGACGTCGCCCATCTTCGTTGCCGCCCGATTTACCATGGGAACGGACATGCTGCGAGGGTTCAGGTTGGTGGTGGCTGCCGGAAAGAAGAATCCACAGCGACAGCGGCGGGGTTGAGGTTGGCGGTGTCTGGGCAGGGTAACAAATTGTTTGATTAGGGTTTTGGTTAGAGATCGGGGTTAGAGGGTAAGATCGTAAATTTGATGCATTTCAGGACGACAAAAATTGAATTTTAGGGCGACGAATAGCAATTTAGATATTATTTTATAAAATCTTTTTATGATACAAATTAAAGTTATATCTTTATATCATGGTACAATTTGTCATCTTCTCCTGCATCGAAGATATTCTCGTTTTTCCGCTATGTTTGAGTCCGTCTTGGCATGAACCCCTGGGTTACATAGGAAGATATAGTCAAATTCCATTAAACCCGAGAATTGACTTCCCTCCTCCTTTCACTGATGACAGCGTTGAAGTTTCTCCAGTGTTGAAAACAAGAGAAGGAGGATCAACTGGACAATAAGATATACACGTAAACAACTTCACTATCTTTAGAGACTGCAGTTTACATTGTGTGTGAGACTAAAACCGCAGTCCGTAGATAAGTAAGACCGCTGAGCAAAGGTTGGAAAAAACAGTACGTAGAAGAAATCAACAAATTTGGGTACAGTCTCATTTAACGGGCCAAGTAATTACCTTTTCTCTACACCGTCGACTAGGGAGTCAACGCGAACACCTTCCTCCAACTTTCTCTACTACTCAATATGTATTTAAAAGGAAAAAGGAGAAACAAAATCAATTCCCTTGAGTGCTATATATACAAGTCTTCGCCAATTTACATAAACATATGTATCATATCAAATCAAATTTTAACCAAAATTAGCAATTCGATATAAATAATGGTGGCAAAATTATTTGATTTCGATGAGTCGAAATATTATAGATGCATGACAACATACAACATAATATATACCTTTAAATTCTAAGTTAAAATATAACGCCTATAAATAAAATAAGTCGTAAAACATCTAGAATTAATTTTGATATCACTTGGTTACAAATAATTATAGTATATATGAAAATACAAAACCCTAATTCATAACCTGTTGCGTCACTAGCAGCTCAATTGACAATCGTGAAAGGAATAAAGGTATTGCATATAAAATCTATAACGATATTTTCTCACATAAAATTAATGATTATTACAACCGTACAAAAGTATGATCCATTTAATCTGTACAAACTAAAAATTTACAACAAAAAAAAAAAAATCTTTTGATATGACGTGTTAAAATTTTCCATCTATAAAGACCCCCACCGCTCATTTCTATACTCTTCAGTCTTCTCGCAGCAGCCGAAAGCCCGAAACCAAAGGAAACAAAGGAAAAAAAAAACAGACATACACAAAAACACGGGAGAGGTGACATTAGGGATGTTTTGGTTAGCATTTCTCGTCGTCACCATTTCCACAGCCATAACGGTTGCCCATTGGGCATACAAATGGTCCAACCCAAAACCCACAACCAGCCCATCGACCAGCTCCCAGCTCCCGCCCGGGTCGATGGGCTGGCCGCTCATCGGCGAGACGTTCCAGTTCTTCGCCCGCAGCGACTCACTGGAGATCCCTCCTTTCCTGCGGGAGAGAAGTGAGAAGTACGGGAAGATATTCAAGACGAGCCTGGCCGGCCGGCGGGTGGTGGTGTCGTCGGACCCGGATTTCAACCACTACATTCTCCAGCAGGAAGGCAAGCTGGTGGAGCTCTGGTACCTGGACTCGTTCGCGGAGATCATCGGGCAGAGTACGACGTCGCTTAAGGAGGCCTGGAACGCGCAGGAGCTGCACAAGAGCTTGAAGAAGTCGGTTTACGATCACATTGGGGTGGAGAGGCTGAAGGGGAAGCTTGTGGGTCGGATGGAGGAGATGGTGGGTCGGACCCTGGATGGGTGGGCGGGTCGGGCGGAGGCGGAGGATCGTGGTGGAGTTGAAGTCAAACGCGCTTGTTCTAAGGTTTGTTTTTTTTAATAGTTAAATTCGTCACGTTTTGCATGGCGCTCACTTTTCTTCTGCGTACACGACAGTTTTTTGACTTGTGGATATATAAGGTCTCTTTCCACTCAACCGGAATCACCATCACCATAATTTGATGTACACTGAACAATTAGCTTATATCAAATCAAGCAAACTATTCGAGCATAATGTATATAGAAAAAATATGGACGTGTTCTAAATAGGATATATATAATAACAATTTCATAAAAACTATCACAACTTTCAAACCAACCCATATATTATCTATTCATATGCTGAAATCGACGGAACGAGATAGTCCAAGTCTTATAAAAGTTTAAAACACGTCTTGACTAATGAGTCTTCTTGCATAGAAAACGTCAAATAAACGACGCAGCATGCATCACCACCAAAATTGTCTATGACATTGTGATAATATAATCAAATATGATGTCCATGGATTGGAAGACTAAGTCTTTAAGGTCGTAGCTAAAATTCCTTAATAAATTAATTATGTTACTCTGCTGAGGGCTTAATTAGGCTGTTGGTGACTTGGTTCTCAACTCTCTTGAGTCCCACTCCCACCACTTGTTTAGTCTCAAATCAATATCAACTTAATAAAATAATAATATTACTTTGTTGATCAGTCACTAAGTAAATATTTAAGATTATGTTGTTGTGGCACGCAAACATTTTATAATCTTTTCAAAATATAAAAAGCATGTAATGGTATTTTGTTGTAATTTGTACCAATTGAATATTTTCTAAGCCCACGACGTTAAATATTTAGATAACAAACCGGTTTTCGAAAATATTTACACGCACATGTGTGCAGATGGTGATGGAGTTGAGCTCAAATATATTGTTCGGCCACGACCCAACCAAGTTCCACCAACATTTGAGCGACATGTTCGAGAGCTTCACCCGTGGCTTGCTCTCGTTCCCTCTCAAAATACCCGGCACCACTTTCCACGCCTGCCTCCAAGTACGTCTCTAAACTCAACCTGAATTAATTACAAACGTATTTAAGTAACTGTGGTGTGTTAAACAAAAATTATATATGCAGAGTCAGAAGAAAATCCTGAGGATAATAATGGACGTGATAGAGGAGAGACGACGACGTTTGGAGGAAACCGCGCCCTTGGAAACGCCGGCGGTCGGAAGAAGAGGCGGCGGCGAAATCGACCTGCTCGACCAGCTCATCGACGACGCGAGAACGAAGGGATTCCCCGACGATAAAGGCATCAGTTACCTCATCTTCGGCCTTCTTTTCGCCAACGCAGAGACAATTCCCAGTGTTCTCACCCTTGCCCTCAGCTTCCTCGACGACCACCCTCTTCTCCTCCACCAACTTGTGGTAAATTATTCATTCTACTTTTTCCTCTCTATAAAATAGTTTTTCAAAAATATTTTTAATTTTTTCGTTGAATTACAACTACTTTGTCATTTCATGTTTTACGTTTTAATATATATATATTATCATCTGAATGGCAACTAATTAATTAATTTTACCCAGAAAGAGAACGAAGAGATTCTCCGCAGCAGAGGAAGCACGGGAGGAAACGGGTTGACGTGGAAGGAATACAAATCCATGAGTTTCACCATGAATGTAAGTGATGATTCAAACCCCTATTAATTAATTAATCATCATGACATAATTTGAGACAATGAAGTGAATTAGTGAAGGAGTGCGTAATATTATATGTACAAAATCAATTTTCAGGTTATCAACGAAGCACTACGACTAAATGGTTCAGTTGGGATAATTCGACGGACGATTGAAGACGTCCACATAAATGGTTTCTCGCCGCCGCTACCCTAATAATATCTCCTAACAGAATTATTTTGTCATTCAACCAAATATCCCGTCAATTTATATGGGCTGCATTTTGTTTTTAATCCGTTGAATAATTTTTACTAACTAGTTAACTAAAACAGGATACGTGATTCCAAAAGGATGGACAATAGCAGTAATGCCAACAGCTGTTCACATGAATCCAGATGTATACCAAGACCCTCTTTCTTTCAATCCTTCCAGGTGGAAGGTACATGCCCTAGCTAGCTAGCTAGTTTATATATATGTCATCTTTTTATTTTCAATTTGTGATGAAAAACCCTATAGAGAACTATAATATTTGGTAAAGGTTTAGCACATTAATTACAGCTTGGTTCAAAATTTCTGCGCTTAGATTTTTAGGAGTTTTTTTCATAGCTATTTCGATTTAAATCACAATATTTATGTATATCAGAACAGAAGCGTGCAATCGATAATCTAAACCAACAAGAACGAACACAAATTTAACGTGGTTCACTAACACAATGTGTGCTAGCTAATCCACGCGCAGAGGAGACAAATTTCACTAATTTGAGGAGAGTACAGGTTACACACCAAATTCCAAACGGACAAACCAAACAAACTAACCTGACTGACCTTACTACTGACTAGGGTGATGAAGAGTATTTATAGAACTCTTCTCCTAATCCCAAACAGAAAACCAAATACCTTTTCCCAAACATACAAGGAAAAGGTCAAACAAAGCCCAAACACAAACCCAAACTAAATAGGCCTAAAACACAAAACAAACCCAAATCAAATTCAAGTCATATTCTAACAATCTCCACCTTGACTTGAATTCTCTCTTAAATACCAGATGTACCAGACGCAACCAAAGTTGCCAAATATACCCAGTCGCGATCCATATCGCCAAATTTACCCAGATGCGATCCAAGTTGCCAGATTTCCAGATGTGATCGAAATCACCAAACTCAAACGCGATACAAATCGCCAAACTCAAACGCGATGCAAATCGCCAAACTCAGATGCAATCAGAATTGCCAGACTTACCCAAATGCGATTCATATCGCCAGACTCAAGTTCAACCAAAATTTCCAGACACCAAACTCTTCAAATCTCTGAATTTGCCAGAATCTCCCCTGCCTCCAAATGCCCCTAAGGGCGGTTAACAAATCAAAATATGCAGCAAGTCCAACTCATGTTGGGACTTGCCTTGCAGAACTAGTTTGGTGTTATTTTCGTTCATAACACCGATATCAAATTTACCTCCAACTCCAAACCTGCAGCTCCCAATTGTGTTGTCGATCTTCAAAATTCAAAACAAACATCCTTGATGATCGGAAACCCTAATCACCACCGAAGGATAACAAACAGAATTATCTCCAAACCCTAACCAACCACCTCACCGCAGCTTGGTGACAACCGTTCACAAACGTTCCTTAAACCAAAATTCAACTCAAAAGCAACCAATAAACTCAAATCTGAAGCTCCACCGCCACAAAGCAAACTTCAGTCCAACGCCAAATTCCCGAAACCGCAACCAGGCTCTGATACCACTTGTCAGAACAGAAGCGTGCAATCGATAATCTAAACCAACAAGAACGAACACAAATTTAACGTGGTTCAGTAACACAATGTGTGCTAGCTAATCCACGAGCAGAGGAGACAAATTTCACTAATTTGAGAAGAGTACAGGTTACAAACCAAATTCCAAACGGACAAACCAAACAAACAAACTTGACTGACCTTACTACAGACTAGGGTGATGAAAAGTATTAATAGAACTCTTCTCCTAATCCCAAACAGAAAACCAAATACCTTTTCCCAAACATACAAGGAAAATGTCAAACAAATCCCAAACACAAACCCAAACTAAATAGGCCTAAAATACAAAACAAACTCAAATCAAATTCAAATCATATTCTAACAATATAAAAGCCCGACTTTTAGCTCCTTTTTTTAAATTTATCGCTCCACATGTTCTCATCCTAGATGATTAATTTCACTAATCAAAAGATATAATGAAAGAGCAGGACATAGGAGGCAGCACTAGCACCAAGAACTTCATACCATTTGGAGGGGGAATGAGGACGTGCGTCGGAGCTGAGTATAGTAAAGCCCTCATGGCAGTCTTTCTACATGTTCTTGTAACCAAATACAGGTATATTAACTGCATCACAATATATATATAAAATATATCAGGCTCCATATATCCAGATTGATTCTGCTTCTTGCCTTTTATTGTTGTATGTATGTGACTAACTATTCAGACCTTTGGAAATGTTTTGTTGATCAGGTGGAAAAAGGTGAAAAGAGGACGCATTTACAGAGCTCCAACACTGCAGTTTGGAGATGGTTATTTCATTCACATCTCCAGGAAGAATGATTAGTTATTATATGCATGTTCGAACATTGTTATAGTCGGGACATGATATAATGTAACGCTCATAGTCCGATTCATAAGTTAGTAAATAATGTTATGGAATACTTCTCGTGGTTAAGAGACAACCATTTATTTGTCAATAAATAATACTTGTATTTGATCACCTTTTTTTCAATTACGATTAACTTAGACCATCAATAGCAATATAGTAGCAAGAAAGGTCGAATCAATAACTACTAGCTAGTAATGATCTATATTTTCCTATTATCTAACCAGTTCTTTTTTAGTGATTTTTAACTAATATAATTAACTACTAAAGCATGAAACCGACGAGAACACAATTTAACTAATAGAAAACCAAATCGATAAGGAGTTGTTCAGATTTGAATCCCCCTAGCTAGTTATCAAGAATCAAGACACAATACATATATATGATTTATTATTCCAAGACTTTAGGACAAACCTTGATACGAGGTGGTCGAGCATATGGTGGTGGTTTTACTGCTTGAATCACATCAACCAAGTCAAGTAAGGGTTCCTCTGGAGGTAATGGTGAAGTTGGTTCTGTCGTAACGGAAGCACGTAATCGACGATCCAGATCAACATAAATGAATACAAATTTAATGTGGTTCACTAACACAATGCGTGCTAGCTAATCCACGGGCAGGAGAGTACAAGTTACAAATAAAATTCCAGAACGGACAAACCAAACAAACTAACCTTTTCCAAACATACAAAGAAAATATCAAAATAGAAAACCAAACTATAGATTAGGGTGATGAAGAGTATTTATAGAACTCTTTTCCTAATTTCAAATAGAACCAAACACATTTTTCCGAACATACAAGGAAAAGGTCAAAACATAACCCAACACAAACCCAAACAAAATAGGCCAAACACAAAACAAAGCCCAAATCAAATTCAAATCATATTCTAACAATCTCCACCTTGACTTGAATTCTCTCTCAAATACCAGATGTACCAGACGCAACCAAAGTTGTCAGATGTACCTAGATGTGATATATATTACCAAACTCAAACACGATGCAAATCGCTAGACGTAACAAACTCTCTAAAGCTTCAAATGTGACAGAATCTCCCCTACCTCCAAATGCCCCTAAGGGCGGTCAACAAACCAAACCATTCGAGAAGTCCAACCCATGTTGAGACTTGCCATTCGGAATCAGCTTGGTGCACTTATCACCAACATAACAGGTATAGATATAACCTTATAGACTATATAAGGCACCAACCTTAACACCTTTCAGAATCACCTTAGAACCTTTGTAGACAGACAACACTCCACCTTCACCTTTGAAACTGAAATCCTTGTTGTCTAGTGGACTCAAAGATATCATATTCTTAGTCATCTGTGGAATATGCCTAATATTGGTCAAGGTGAAAACAGAACCATTATGTGTCCTTACCCTGATGGAGCCTTTTCCAACAATCTTGCAGATAGCACCATTGTCCATAGAAACATGTCCTCCATCTATATGCTCATAAGTTGAAAACACTCCCTGCTTGGACACATATGATAATCACCTGTAGTATATAAATACCATACATCCTGATGATGTACCTTCTCACTCACTATTAAGGCTAAACCATCTTCAGAATCAAAGTTAGCTTCTTTCGCCACAGCAACTGATGTTTCCTTCTTCTCCGAATATTTCTTTTGTTTAGGAAAATCAAATTTCTAATGACCTTTCTCCTTATAGTAATGGCATATATCATTATCGTTCAAACCAACATATTGTTGTCTTCTACTACCAGTAGCAGCCAACCCACACGCCTGATTTTCCAAACCTCAACCAGACGCCTTATGTCAAACCTCTCTAATGTGTAGAGCAGATCTAACATCTTTCTAAGTCAACCTATCTTTCCCAGCAATAAAAGAATCAACCAAATTCTCATACGAGCATGCCAAAGATACTAACAGAATTAATGCAGCATCTTTGTCATCCACTTTAACAGCAATATTTTATAGATCTAACAAGATAGTATTAATTTAATCTAGAGCATTCCTGAGAGACGTACATTCCTCCATATGCAAACTGAACAGACGTTGCTTCAGATTCAACTTGTTGGTTAAAGACTTTGTCATATATAGACTTTCAAGCTTCAACCACAAGCTCACGACAGTCTTTTCAGTAGCAATCTCAATTATTATTTCATCAGCCAAATAAAACAAGATTGTAGACTGAGATTTCTCCTCCAAAGTACTTCAATCTTCTTCATCTTTGCTTTCTTTTTTGGATTTTCCAGACAATGGTGCCCACAAACCCTGTTGGTTCAATAGTGCTTGTATCTTGATCTGCCACAAACTAAAACTGTTTCTCCTATTGAACTTATCAATCTTCATACTAATAGCAGCAATTCTTACTATGAAACAAACTCCAACCAAACTTCTCACCATACACACCAAATTATTCCAAAACAAACCAATCATCCAATAAATATCAAATACCACGAGGTGAGCTAAAAAAATTAGCAATAATTTATGTGCCAAATTTCTAAATTCCAACCAACGGACACGTAGTCCAAAACTTTGCTCCACAAATACTTCTTCTTCCAAAACCAATTGGTACTTCTCTGCTCAGTCCGAGTATCCCTCTGTACCACAATATCAATTGGGTGATAATTACCACTCATACAATTCCCAACTCCAAATTGATAGCGTACGAAAGGAATATTGACGTAAACAGCACAACACCAACAAATTCCAGATAGGGGGAATGCTCTGATCCCAAACTTGTGTGCAATTCTCTGATAACAAAACTAGGGTTCTGATACAACTTGTCGTAACAGAAGCGCATAATCGACAATCCAGATCAACACAAACAAACACAAATTTAACGTGGTTCACTAACACAATGTGTGCTAGCTAATCCACGGACACATGAGAACACATTTCACTTATTTGAGGAGAGTACAGATTACAAATCAAATTTTGGAACGGATAAACCAAACAAACTAACCTTAGTGACCTAACTACAGATTAAGGTGATGAAGAGTATATATAGAACTCTTCTCCTAATTCCAAATATAAAACCAAACATCTTTTTTCCAAACATACCAGAAAAATGTCAAAACAAAACCCAAACACAAACTCAAACAAAATAGGCCCAAAACTCAAAACAAAGCCCAAATCAAATTCAAGTCGTATTCTAACAGGTTTATTAGTAGATATTGAAGAGGTATGATCATGAAGTAAGACAGATTCTGGAACAGAATCTAGAACAACAATATTTGGAAAACAAAAATCAAATTCACAGTTGTGATTGGTCTTAAAGAAGGGAAATACATGTGTCATGGAACACTGTATCTCTGGAAAAGAATATTTGGCGGCTGACCAGATTATAAACTCTGGATCCTTTAATTGAAGGATGATAACCCAAAAATACTGAAGGAGCAGCTCATGGAGCAAAGTTAGATCGATTATGTTGACGGGTAGAAGCAAAGACAAGACAACCAAATACCTTTCAATCCAAGTAGTTGGGTTCAGAAGTAAAATGGATTTCAAAAGGGGACTTGTTTTGTAAAATGGGTGAGGGTGAACGATTCATAAGAAAAACTGAATGTTGGACCGCACAACCCCAAAAAGAGATAGGTAATTATGCTTGAAACATCAATGACCTGGCAACAACTAGCTAGTATATGTTGATGTTTATGCTCCACTCTACCATTTTGTTTATGCTCCACTCTACCATACACACACACATATATATATATATATATATATGACCCCGGGTGAAATCCGGGGTATCGCATACCTTGAGTATGAAAACGATATCTAGATCTCGAATTAGCAGGATTTTTGGGCACGATACTATACCCTAACCCGTAATGAGTGAACCCTAGGTCCTAATTATCTAAATCATAAACTATAAACCCTGAGATGGTGCATTGATTTTTTTGCCTATATTTGGACGAATCATAGCAGTCGATTATTAATTCTAATTAAATTGATATTGAGGTATAAGATTTAGAGAACTAAGACCTAGATTTTGATCTTTAAGGCTTAGAGTATAGTATCATGTCCGAAAGATCAGTCAATTCAAGTTCTAGATAACATTTTTTTACTCAAGATATGTGATACCCCAGATTTCACCCTGGGTACCGTAGAACTCTCCCCCCCCCCCCCCCCCCCCCCAACACCCACCCACCCACCCACACACACACACACACACACACACATATATATATATATAGTGGCTACTTCGGTGCACTCACAAAAAATGAGTGCGTTCAGTGCACCCAACTAAAAAACTAGTCTTAAGGTGTCGGATTTTAAATTTTTATTTGTAGAATTAGTGTAATATGATGATATAACATATGATAACAACGAATTAGCGATTTACCCTAAGCCCTAGACCTCCAATTTTGAGTTCTATCCCTAAACTCCAAATTGTAAACCCTAACCCTAACCCTATCCCTAAATCTCTAAACTCTAAATCCTTCAAATTGAAGTAAATCTTTAATTGTTTTTGTGCAAATTTATGTGCATTATTGTTCATCGCATCATAAGTAATGATTGACATCATTTTGACATAAATCGCATGTTTAAAATGACGGTTATAAAGCGAGTGCACTGAATGCACCCAAAAAAGTGAGTGCACCAAAGACATCACCATATATATAGATATCTTGATACATATCCAGATCGATTTTGGTTCTTGCCTTTTATTGTTGTACTAGAATCAATACCTACGGAGGCTATGCAACGCCGCAGGAACTAAGCTACAGCCGAATGATTATATGGTGGTCATTAAGGTGACGGTAAATTACGATGACGGTAAGTTGTACTAAAGTTGTAACGCCGCAGGAATTAAAGTTGCAGTCGAATGATCATATGGTGATCAATTAAGGTGTTGTGTACCATCATATTCTAATGGGTTCATGACTAAGTGCAGAAAATATATAGACAACATTAAATAACAACTTGGATTAATAGACTAATAATAATCATACTCTAAAAGTTTCTTTTCGAATCAAACTTATTGACATAGTTCTAATCAGGAGACTGGAGATACAAACTGAAAGCTGCATGTTTTTTCCTATTGAAAGTTGCGACCTGCATATAAGAGTTTCTTACTGAAATCTTACAAACCTCTGTTCAGTTATGCACGTGCATCTCTTATTTCCACATCCTCGTTTATGTCCCCAAATTTACAGCAACATAAACTCAGTTTTAAATCTCAAGTTCAACATTGGACTTATTCACTTGTACTTTTTTTTTTTGTCCTTCCATATGCAATCTTGACCATCCTACTGATAACTAACTTCATTGGCTAGCATAATCTCATCAACGTCTGATGTGAAGGCATTTGTACCCCCTACTGCCGTTGCAACTCCTTCTACCATTTGATGTCAGATGTGAAGGCATCATACGATGAGCTGAACGCCTGTAAGCCCGGATGTTATCTATGCAAAGAAGAAATTCACGTCAGCCCAAGTTGAACTGCAGGGTTTTTTCATAAAAGATTGAGACCGAGATTATTTAGTTGGTATAGTGGATGGATAGATGAACCTTACAAAATGTATCTCTTTGTTCAGGTTTATTGCTTATGGTTTGGTCCTCTACTTTTCAGTGCCAATATCTGGCCTCCCCCACAAAAAACCATGCTTTGACCAATCAAGTCAGAGATGAAGCATACATGAACACATGGCAAAAAAAAAAAAAAGAAGCTTGAAACACGGCTTCAGAGTGAGTACCCAGTAGCTTTTTCTCTTCTTTTGACCAGCTCCCAAAAGTTACCTTATTGTAAAAGAAAAGTTTTGATGATAGGTAGATAAAAGAAAGCATTATATTAAGTCATCAGTTGCAGGTTTCAAGGTAAGTGATTAACAATATTGGATAAAAGTTCTGAACCAAAACCATGGCAGAGAGGGGGGAAAAACTTTAAAAATAACGTGACCATGATATGTGTATATTTCTGCTAAGTTTTGTTTCCAGACACATCTGTCATAACTGTGGCTTCTTTCAAGCAAAAAAAGAAAAAATATCAAACCCAGAATTCTAAAAAACTAAAACCAGCAATTACCTCATCATGAAGCTTCTATTTGTGGGCTTGAAGGGCATCATTATCAGCTTTGACAACCTGAAACTGTCTCTTAAGGATAACATAAATTTTCTAAGCGACTTGGTCTTCCACCTGACTCTCCTGTTCTGGAACCAAATACCAATATGCCTAGGCTGCACCTCAAGAGCTCTAGCTAACTGCATTTTTCCCAACTCAAAGTTCTTCTTCAATGTCTTCACTTGTTCCATGTTCAGCCTCCTCTTTTTCTCCCCTGCCTGTGACCCATCGTCTGATAGCTCATCCAGCTTATCCCCACCATTATTATTACCTTCTAACTCATGATCTCCAATCCTGAACATGACATGGATCTCTTCCCTTGTAATTCTGTCTACCCTAAAATATAACAAATCAATCAGCCAACCCACTTCATAATTACCATAAAGGAAAGCCTCAAAGCCATCCAACTACAATTCATGGACTAAAGGAACACCAAAGCAGGAACATTGTCAAGGTACAAAGCAGTAGTTGGAGATGGGAGGCAGGAGAATCGAGAACCATAAAAAGAACCAAGTACGAAAACACAAAACACATCAGCTCCCCGAGCCCATCTGAAAATTATCCTTGTCCATTAATTAGACAGAAGAGAAGCAAAATCCAAATGAACCAATCTGCTGAGAATCTCGCCTGTCAATTGATATGTTATAGATGAAACCGTTTCTGGGAATGTTTCGGGCACTCGTTTCTTTAGTGATAGCTAAAGCACTTTGCCTCCTTCCAGCATTTCTTGAGCAATGCTTCGTATGTGAACACATCAAGTTCAAATGGAAAACAACAGTAGTTAAGGGTTAGACTATCGCATCATAAAATGAAGACTTTGTACCTGAACTGTTGGAGATGGTAAGATTCTTCAAGCATTTGGTCTCACGAACCATTATCTAGTACGTGAATCTCCAGAACCTGCATTTTTTATCCATAATAAATCAAGTCATAGAATGGATGATCACCAAAACCAGTTACAGAAAGACATGTTGATTGTGTTAAGATGACTGAGTTACAAAATGAAATTAAGTATTCAGCCTATCCAACAGTACATGGTAGTATGAATTATGATTACGGGTTCAAATACTACCATCTATAAAGAAACAACCTGTAAAGTCCCATATCCCCTAGCTACCATCTTTAAAAGTTAAATCAGTAAGGAAGCTATCATTGGGCAATGAATTTATTCTGTAAACACAATCACAATATTATCATCCAAACAAAATATCAAAAGAAGGGAAAAGCTAATAGTACTGGTGTAGTCCGTTAGCATTCGTTCATCTTTAAAAGTTATTGATGACAACTCTGCTTCCAGTTCAGCAGACAAATACAATTTCCATTCCAAATTACAGAGACAATCTAGCACGAAATTGAAGAGCAAAGGGAGCAATAAAGTTCTGAAACTTGTCCCCTTCCTTTTACATGGTCTCTTTGCAAATTATAACTGTGTTGTGATCCATATCGGTCCCTATTTTAAACGTTGATATTTGAAGATGAAGACAACAATCAAATGGAAAGTGATCCAAGTTCTAGATTCTAAGTACCATTTACGTTTTATGCTCCATTAAATTCATGGTTTAAACCATGAAAAAACTCGTAGGAAGAGATCCTTCTCTTTACTATGCAGGTGCAAAGATACATCACCCCAACTTGAGAAGAGGAGGTTGAGGCTTGTTCTTCCTCTTAAAGTTTGGTACTACATTATCATCCATGTCAGCATGGCTGCATGTCTGGAGGAGGCCTAGCAAGAAGCAACAAACATTAGCATCTGGTAGGAGGATTGTAGCTAATGTGTTATGATGATCTAATTCACTTTGACAAAGGGAATATTTTAAAAGTGACAAACAACAGTAAAATTCAAGTAATCTGATTTAAAAATTATAGGAGTGATCATATCATCTTCTGTATAGTTCAAATGACAGTAAAATCACCTGATTTAAGAACTTATAATGAGATCTACATACAGGTCTAGCCATCCTCCAATATGGTGATATTCTTATGTTGCAAGACACAGATCCTCCATGGAAAACGATGGCCTCAACCGGACACTACCACTGCTCTTCAAATCTCAAGTGAATGCTTTTGGTCTCTGTCCCAAAAGCAATGAAAACCATGAAACCTCGGATAAGAGCAGGCAACATAAAAAGTATCCAAAATTTTCTCCTTGAAGCAAGTCTATGCAAAGAATAGGAAGCACCATACCAAAAAATTCCAACTTGCACTGCTGCAAAATTGGCAAAGTCAATAGAAACGTTACTGCTTTCTCCACAGCCAAGGAGCACCAATGTTTCCAAATTAGGGCAGAGGGCACTTTAATCAAGGGGCAAAAGCTTATCATGATTCATTATTAGGAAACAAACCCCCAACATATGTTTTGATATGCATAACATTCATATGAGCATTTCCTCCCATAAATGAGGATAAGAGTGTACTCTGATCTGTGAGAGATAGAAGGGTTAAATGAATCTAAACAAAAGACACCAACCATTCATTGACAAAGTTAAGGAAAAATTATAATTGAAAAGATAGAAGGTAAAAGCAAAATAAAGAAAATGGCAGAGTATTAAGAAGGCCCAGCAGCATAGCACAGAGGACAATCAATCTGCAGATTCAAATCCGTTTTCTTTTCTATACGAAATAAAAAATTGGATAGAGAAGAGTTTCCTTCTGCTTACATTCTCGTTGAGGGTGGTGATACTTTTCCTTCCTTCTCATCTCCTTATTCTTTCGCTCCTCCCTGGCAGCCGTTGAGCTTCTCTCGACTTCCATCCTGAAAATCGGCGGTCCCACCAACTCTTACCCCATCCTCCTGCTGGTCCATCATCATCACCATCGTCAGTTTCCGTTGTTCCTCCCCACGGATTGGGCTAGAGTACGAACTTGAAGACACCATGTCATCAGAATCTTCATTGCTACAGCCTTGCTCTGCAGCGAGAGTCCAAAACCGAATAGGTGAAATTTAAAATTTTCCATAAAGAAGACAGATAAAATAAGACATCACCATCATAGGCGATTCTGTCCACCGTCGTCGGTCCTCCTCTTCCAAATCGATTTCTTCATCCTCCGCTTTCAGGTTCTGGTTCCGTGTCGACCAGCAGCGTGGAAACTTTTAGGGTTTCGTTGAGGGATTACGGTGGGGGAAAGGAGGGAACCATTTGTCTCCCACCAAGTACAATCGTAGCCAACTGGTGGGGAGAGGACATCACTGTAGAAGCAGAAGGAAGACATGGATTTTCTGTACGGGAAAGCAAAGCGGAGTGACGAACTGACGGGTTGGGAAGGAGGTGTGTCGAAAGAGCTCTGCAAAAGTGGCATGGGTGATGCATGCAAGACCATATGCAGAGAGGAGGTGATTGGAAGAAGGACAGTGAAGTTGACAGAGCAAGAATGGAAAAGGCATGGTTGAGGACAGTGCAACAGCCGAGAACTTCTAGTGGGGCGGGACAGTCATGAAGGCAGGTTTCCAAGGAGCTCTCTAGTGGAGAGTTTGAGGCTCAGCTCACTAGATGTTAAAAATTGAAACAGTAGCAAGAAATTTGGGGAAAAAGCGTACGCACTAATTATATATATAAGAAGAATGTGACTAATTATCCAGACCTCTGGAATGTATGTGTTGATCAGGTGGAATAAGGTGAAAAGAGGATGCATTTTCAGAGCTCTAACGTTGCAGTTTCGAGATGGCTATTTCATCCAGATCTCCAAGAAAAATGATTAGTTAGTATGTGATCAAGATATGCATGTACGAACATTTTTATAGTCGAGACATGATAATTATGTAGCGCTCATAAACTGATTCAAAATTTTGTAAATAATGTAATGGAATTAATACTTCTCATGGTTGAGATACAACCAATTATTTATATGCTGATACAAACTGTTATAGGATTCTAAGGCAGGGCTGATGATAATTCAAGAAAAAAATATGAAAGGTACGAAATAGAAGAGCAACTGACTAGAGGAAACAAGAAAAGATAGTGTTACTCTTTCCATACGCAAGACCAACCGAGCCTACTCTTAAGCTAGCGTTACTCTTTTTCATACAAGAGGTTCTATTAAAAAAGATCACAAAGATACTGAAAGATGATCACGAATCTCTTACAAATCATCATGAAACCCAATTATACGCCACATCCGTCTGATATGAGTTTTACAGTTTCCTTCATCCATCTAGTCCTCCATGCGAATGATGCACCTAAGCCCTTCTCCTTTTAGCATGATATCAAATGCCTTGTTGATATCTGACAAGGGCACACTGTGAGTAACGAATTTCTACACTTCAAGCTCCTGCATGAACACAACAGAAACAGGGAACCCAATTTCACATTATACTTCTGATAGACCGTCATTTACACATGTTTTTACCCCCGTTCTTACACCGTTTGAGGTGTTGATTCTCGTGTTTTAGGCCGATTTCACGCTAGGTTGTGCTTGTTTGTGATATTTCAGGTCCTAGTACGTGAATGAAGGCTTAGGAGCGAGTCTGGGGTCGATTGGACGAAGAACGGACGAATGGCGAGGTTTTCAGGGAGCTGCACGGGCAGACCAGGGAGGCTGCACGGCCGTGCACGGTTGCAAGCTGGCCGTGCGCCTCATGCCGAGGAGCTGCACGGGCAGGCCCTGAGGATTGCACGGCCGTGCACCTGGCCGTGCAAGAAGCCTGAGTTCAATTAAGGGATACGCTGCGTTTCATGGTGCACGGCCAGAATGGTGAGGTGCACGGCCGTGCACCCTGGCCGTGCAACTCGGGAAAACCCGGTTTTAAAGCCTAATCCGAGCCAGAAGTGAGAGAAGAGTGTTTTTCAGAGCAAAAACAGAGCCCTAGAGAGAGAAAGTACGAAGAACACATCCTAGAAGCTGTCTTAGAGCTGGATTTCATCGAATCGAGCCTGGAGATCGTCATAGGAGTGAAAATCATCGCCCCGGAGCAGATTATCCTCATCGTTATGAGTATGACTAATCCGATTCTTGTTTTCTCTTCTCTCTCTATGGAGTAGAACCCTTCTCTCACTTGGGGATGAAGAACCCTAGTTCTATGTGTTAGGGATTGATTGTAATGACTTGGGATGATACTACTGTTTGATTTTAATCGAATGATGCATGTTTCATGAATTGATTTGAGTCTGATCAGCTTGTCTCAATTTCTGCTTCAACCTGAGATAGATAGAATCTGATTAGGTTGTTAGAGACTCTTCATTCGATAGTAGGAGGTTGGCTATACGAGAGTTAGCCAGTTTACTGCTTTGTACTGGTGTTCTTGGCGCCAGTAGTGGAGTTCTGTGTTCATAGCCTCAGCTTTCTATCCCGGTGAAGACTAGTCGTCTGCCGGGTAGTTAGACTGAGAGGGCTTGGTCAGCTTAAGAGATTCCAAGCTACTGTCGGATCTTCCGCAGTCTAATCAACAGTAAATCAACCCAGGGTAAATTGCAATTGAAACCTAACTAAAGAGCTAGGGGGATTCATTCCCGAGTGACTCTTTCCTGCTTAAGAAAACCGAATAATTTCCTGCTTTATTTCTGCTTTTAGTTTAAACAACAATCACTTACTCTAGTTGGCTAGATAACAGAGAATCACTGAGTAAGCAGTAGATCTAGACCCCGGGTTGATAATATAACTTGCCTGTTACTGCATTCCCGGTCTGCGATTATACTTGGTCGCAGATTGGTGTTGTGTTTTGGCGTGTCAAGTTTTTGGCGCCGTTGCCGGGGACCCTCTAGGTTATTGGGGAAACGTGAGAATTTGTTACTCTAGCTTTTATTTTCTGCTTTTTATTTCTTCCACCTGTGTGCCTTCACGGGTTGTTTCTGCTGATTGTGTGCAGGTAGTGCATGACCCGTAGCCAGTCGGGAGATCTACTACCACTAGACCAGGAGCTTGAACGAACCTGCAGAAACTTCAAGCGGGCTCTAAAGGCGCGACTGGCTGCGGAGGAGGCGCTAGCACAGCTGCAGTTAGAGGAGGAAGAAGAAGAGATGGCTGAACCAGGGAACCATGATATGATCCCTGAGGAGCAAACCATGGGATCCTACTGGACCGCTAGAGCTGCGGACATGAGGTCACCCATTCAGCACCC